AGTCAAGCCTGCTACAACTATGGAGAAGTTGGGTACTTTAAAAGGAACTGTCCCAAGAAGTCAACTGCTGATAACACTGGAAGAATTCTAACCATGGGATGGGAGGAAGCAGTTGCTGATCCCATTGTTGTTTCGGGTACGTTCCTTCTCGACAACTCATATGCTAGTAGTCTTTTCGATTCGGGTGCTGAAAGGAGTTTTGTTAGTCATGCATTCAAACATAATCTAAAACCAAATCCTCAACCACTAACTGAAACGTTTACCGTCGAGATGGCTAACGGTGAGAAAGAAAGCGCTAACAATGTATTCATAGGTTGTACGCTTACCGTAAATGATCACTCATTTCCTATAGATCCCATGCCAATTTCCATTAAGAGATTTGATGTTATCATTGGCATGGATTGGTTGAGTCCCAATCATGCTGATATTCTTTGTTACGAAAAATCCATTCGTCTTAATCTTCCTTCGGATCAAACTCTCGTAATCTATGGCGATAAACCCAGTTCCAATCTTCATATCATTTCTTACATCAAAGCTCGAAAGCTCCTACGGAAGGAGTGCATTGCATTCTTAGCCCATGTGATCAACGAGAAACAAGAAGTTAGAGACCTCGCGAGCATCCCCGAAGTCTGTAACTTTCCTGATGTGTTTCCCGAAGAGCTTCCAGGAATTCCTCCCGAACGTCAGGTTGAGTTCCGTATTGACCTAATTCCTGGAGCTACCCCCGTAGCAAAGTCTCCGTATCGCTTAGCTCCGGCAGAAATGTAGGAGTTATCCAGTCAACTCAATGAGTTGCTCAGTAAAGGATTCATTAGACTGAGTTCCTCACCCTGGGGAGCTCCGGTTCTGTTTGTCAAGAAGAAAGATGGATCCTTTCGGATGTGTATCGACTATCGTGAACTAAACAAGTTAACTGTTAAGAACCGATATCCTCTTCTACGAATAGATGACCTCTTCGATCAACTCCAGGGAGCCAGCTACTTTTCAAAGATAGACCTTCGGTCAGGGTACCATCAGTTACGAGTCCAGGAAAATGATGTTTCCAAAACAGCTTTTAGGACTCGGTTTGGACACTACGAGTTCGTAGTGATGCGCTTCGGTCTAACCAATGCACCGGCTGTGTTCATGGACCTGATGAACCGGGTGTGCCGTCCTTTCTTAGACAAATTCGTCATCGTGTTCATTGACGGCATCCTCGTCTACTCCCGAAGCGAAGAAGACCACAAGCAACACTTGAGGCTAGTGTTGGAGACCCTTAGATCCGAAAAGCTTTACGCGAAATTTTCCAAATGTGAATTTTGGATACGGAAGGTAACTTTCCTCGGTCACGTGGTAAGCGAGGAGGGTATTCATGTAGATCCTTCCAAGATTAAAGTGATAGAGAATTGGTCGGCACCGAAAACACCCACAGAAATTCGTCAATTCTTGGGTCTCGTCGGCTACTATCGATGATTCATTCAGAACTTTTCCAAAATCGCCAAACCTTTAACCACTCAAACACAGAAAGGTGTACCCTTTTATTGGAGTGATAAACAAGAAACTGCATTCCAAACGTTGAAGAGAGCCTTATGCAACGCGCCTGTTCTGTCTCTGCCTGAAGGGACAGAGGACTTCGTTGTCTACTGCGATGCGTCTAATCAAGGTTTAGGCTGTGTGCTTATGCAAAGAGGAAAGGTGATTGCCTACGCCTCAAGACAGCTGAAAGCACACGAGGTCAACTATACCACACATGACTTGGAACTAGGAGCCGTAGTCTTTGCATTGAAGATTTTGAGACATTATCTCTACGGAACCAAGTGCACAATCTTCACTGATCACAAGAGCCTGCAGCACATCTTTGATCAGAAGGACTTAAACATGAGGCAACGGCGATGGAATCCGTTACCACCCCGGCAAGGCCAATTTGGTAGCAGATGCCCTTAGCCGAAAGGATAGTGCATGCCACAAAGTGAAGAACCAAACGATGACCATCCAATCCAACCTACCCATACAAATCCGAGAAGCCCACTTAACAGCCCTCAAACCCGAGAACATGTCAGATGAAACCTTGAGAGGAATGCAAAAGAAACTTGAGATCAGAGGTGATGGAGTTCACTGTTTCATGAATCGAATCTGGATTCCCAAATTCGGTGGATTCAGGGAAATAGTCATGGAGGAAGCACACAGAACCAAATACTCTGTTCACCCGGGTTCGGACAAGATGTACCTGGATCTCAAGAAACAATACTGGTGGCCAAACATGAAAGCTGAGATAGCTACATTCGTGGGCAAGTGTCTGACTTGCGCCAAAGTCAAAGTCGAACATCAGAAACCCTCAGGTCTGCTCCAACAACCCGAGATCCCCGAGTGGAAATGGAAGATGATTACCATGGACTTCATCAACAAACTGCCCAAGTGTTCTAGTGGGTACGATACCATTTGGGTAATTGTCGATCGTCTGACAAAATCCGCTCACTTCATTCCGATCAAAGAATCATACAAGATGGAAAGACTCGCGCGAATCTACATCCAGGAGGTAGTACGTCTACACGGTGTACCTGTATCCATTATCTCTGATCGAGATAGCAGGTCTACCTCTAGATTCTGGCAGTCCCTCCAGAAAGCCCTTGGAACCAAACTAGATATGAGCACGGCGTATCATCCTCAGACCGATGGACAGAGTGAGAGAACAATCCAAACCCTGGAGGACATGCTTAGGGCATGTGTCATTGACTTTGGAAAGTCGTGGGACACACATCTATCCTTGATCGAATTCTCATACAACAATAGTTACCGCACCAGCATTAGGGTTGCTCCGTTTGAAGCCCTGTACGGACGTAAGTGTAGATCCCCTCTGTGTTGGGCCGAGGTGGGGGATACACAGTTAGCCAGGAGTCGAGTCCCCAACAGTGCTCTCACTGGTCCTAAAATCATTCGCGAAACCACTGAAAAGATCATTCAAATCTGTAACCGATTGAAAGCTTCACGTGATCGTCAAAAGAGTTACGCTGATAATCGTCGGAAACCACTAGAATTCTAGGTTGGAAACCGTGTCCTGTTAAAAGTCTCGCCCTGGAAAGGCACTGTACGCTTTGGTAAGTGTGGGAAACTTAATCCAAGGTACATTGGACCCTTTGAGATCCTCTCCAGGATCGGTCCAGTTGCCTATAAACTTCATTTACCTCACGAACTTAGTAACATTCATCCTGTCTTCCATGTTTCAAATCTCAAAAAGTGCCTATTCGATGAAACCCTAACAATTCCCTTAGACGAGATCGAGATCAATGAAAACCTCAACTTTGTGGAGGAACCGATCGAAATCATGGATCGAGAAGTCAAACGTACAAAACAAAGTCGCATCCCGTTAGTGAAGGTTCGCTGGAAAGCCAAGTGGGGACCGGAATTCACTTGGGAACGGGAAGATTCAATGAAACAGAACTATCCATAACTCTTTCTTGATCCATGATTTGAATCTTGTCTTGTGTTTTAAACTTTGAATTTCGGGACGAAATTCCCTTTAACGGGGGGATAATGTAACAACCCGAAATTTCCATGTCATTTCTTGTAACTCTTTTGTAGTACAATTCACGCAACCAATCGTCGTTTCCAAATTCGATTTCCGATCTTCCGTTTAATTAAGTCATTAACTAGTACGTATTTAAAATGACTTAATGGGTGTCTTAATACATTTAGAAATCATTTTAACACCCAACTTTAGTGATCGGAATATTTCTAGAAATTTCCGTATCGGGTTACGGTAACTCAATCGGGTACGACCAAAAGCCTCGTCTAACGCCAGTATCGGGTAGAATTCCACCGTGTTCAGGTTTTAGAACCTATATAAACATGTTTAAGCCTCCATTTGAAGCCTTTGGCCAATTTCTCATTTAACTCTTCCCACCTCTCTCCTCATCCAAATTCTGATCCGTATATGGATAATGAAGGCCCAAAAGGCTATGGGTAGCTTAATGTTGGGCTAGAAAGTTGTTTGGGCTTAATGGCCTATGGGGTATGCATGGTGACATAGTTGATGGATTAGGGTTTTCATAATTAAATTAATAAAAGTTTAATAAATCCAAGACTTCATTTATTGATTGATTCAAAGCTAGGGTGATTATGGAAGCATTTGGAAGGGTATCATTGATGGATCTCTTTAAACTTTGGGAGTTACACTATTATCATTGATGGATCTCTTTAAACTCTGGGAGTTACACTCTTATCATTGATGGTTCTCTTTAATCCTTGGGAGTTACACTCTACTTCTTCTCATAACCAATTACTAGCAATTGAAGACTAATTGAAGACATGGACGTTTTTTTTGTCATTATTAAGTGTGGTAGACATTTTTTTGTGTTATTTCAAGAGTTTCCTTAAGTTTCATTTACTAGTTTTAATGAATAATTGGTTGGTTGGCTTGTAACCACCATGTTTGTAATAAAGGCTTCATATAAAGCCAAGTTTATGCATGGGAAAGTGAATAGACGAATTTCTAAGAAAAAAACTTTTGTTCACATGGAATTATTGTTATAATTCACAAATTATCTTGTTGGGACGTGTTCTTGACTTGATACGAACTCAATCTAATAGGTCTTGGATTGTTTTCACCGGTATACAACTTAATAGGTATTGAGTTGTTACTAATTTATCCATTTCTTTCCATTCACCTATCATTTGTGGTTTCTATTCTCTCTTAATTTACCTAAACACTACCCTACTCACCAAATCAAGCCCATACTCATATCATAAGTGGTTATAGGTCTAACTTGATCATCATACTATCCTTGTTTCTTGTTCGTGTTATTCCCTTGCAAAACCGTTCCAAATATAACCAAAAGCAGCCCCATTTGCATTGTTTCTTCTCTATTTGTTATCATTTCACTGCAATCAGAAACACTCCAAAACAAAACCTCCCATACACGTATCATAAGTGGTATCAGAGCCTAGTTCCGATTGGGTGTAATTAAGTTCTTGTTCAAAAAAAAATTCTGCTAAGTTTGTTTGAATTCGGTTGTTGTCCAAAAATGTTGCGCAAGCTATATGATGAAGAAGATATAGAGGAAGAGAAAATTGAAAAAGATGAGGAAGAAGATTCTGGTCCCATCTACGACACCGATGGAGAAGGGGAATTTTGTGAAAGAATAAATTTCTTGGTTGAAGAGGAATTTATTGAAGAAATTGAAGAAGGAACTAATTTTGTGATCGGAGATGAAATTGTTGAGGCAATTGTGGAAGAAATCAATTTTGTTGATATGCACAAAATTGTTGAAGAAATGGTGATTTTTGTTGAACAACTAAAATCATTCTAAGAGCTCACAACCTTGAGAACCAATGACTATAAGTGCCACAAAAATTCAGGTTCTCATATCTTTTATGAACACAATTCCTTTTCTAAAGTGTGGGGGATTTCCATTTTTCATCTTTATTTTCGTGTCAATGTGTGGGAGATTTTTACACTTTGGATGCCATCGAATGCTTATATTTTGCATTTTGAAGGCCTTAGTGACAAGAAGAAGTATGGTGAGAGGTTGGATTTTACTAATTATGATCTTGATAGTGATGTTTTTGTTTTGTCTTCGTTAATTGATCAAAAGGAGAAAAAAGACATGCATATTACTTTTGATAAAAAGTTTTATGCAATTAGAGATGTAGACTTTTCACTTAAGACTCAAAAACAGCAAGACCAATTATTTTTAGATGATGGTAGAATTTTGTATGCTCCAAAAGGCGATATGATGATTTCCAAAACAAGATGTGTTCATAGTGGTAGCAATCAGTCACGAAAAAAGACATTGTGTGACAATTCGTATGCCAATTTTTTGTGTTGTCCACAAACAAAAGATATCTTAATTAATTCTTCATTCGTTGTTCAAAAACACCAAGAGCGAAGGCTTGAAGTTTGTGGTGAAAGAAAGACGAACGATGGTATCCATCTTTCTACAAATCATCTTTCTACGAGCAAAGAAGAAAGAATTAATCAATATGAAGATCTAAGTCCCAAGTATTTACATGGGAGGATGCTCATGAAGTTTGGACTCATATTCTTTTGGTGTGCATTAAATTGGGAAACCATGGTTAATTTGCAGGGCCGAGTTCATGGGAATGTATGGAAGTGGTTTTTCATCCACAAATGGAAGATACGGTTAGGATTGAATTTGGTGAGTTATTTGAAGAAGAACATGTGTATGTGGAGAAAACACCAAGTTGGAATAAAGAAAAGGTCACATTATGCAATAAAAATTTGGTTTCAAGACATGCTGTCAGGGAAGGTTCGTATGGGGGAACAACACAATTTGGTTCTTACTGAATTGAGGACAATTCCTTTCGAAGAAGGAGGGAATGATCCGTATATGGATAATGAAGGCCCAAAAGGCTATGGGTAGCTTAATGTTGGGCTAGAAAGTTGTTTGGGCTTAATGGCCTATGGGGTATGCATGGTGACATAGTTGATGGATTAGGGTTTTCATAATTAAATTAATAAAAGTTTAATAAATCCAAGACTTCATTTATTGATTGATTCAAAGCTAGGGTGATTATGGAAGCATTTGGAAGGGTATCATTGATGGATCTCTTTAAACTTTGGGAGTTACACTATTATCATTGATGGATCTCTTTAATCTCTGGGAGTTACACTCTTCTCATTGATGGTTCTCTTTAATCCTTGGGAGTTACACTCTACTTGTTCTCATAACCAATTACTAGCAATTGAAGACTAATTGAAGACATGGACGTTTTTTTTTGTCACTATTAAGTGTGGTAGACGTTTTTTTTGTGTTATTTCAAGAGTTTCCTTAAGTTTCATTTACTAGTTTTAATGAATAATTGGTTGGTTGGCTTGTAACCACCATGTTTGTAATAAAGGTTTCATATAAAGCCAAGTTTATGCATGGGAAAGTGAATAGACGAATTTCTAAGAAAAAAACTTTTGTTCACGTGGAATTATTGTTATAATTCACAAATTATCTTGTTGGGACGTGTTCTTGACTTGATACGAACTCAATCTAATAGGTCTTGGATTGTTTTCACCGGTATACAACTTAATAGGTATTGAGTTGTTACTAATCTATCCATTTCTTTCCATTCACATATCATTTGTGGTTTCTATTCTCTCTTAATTTACCTAAACACTACCCTACTCACCAAATCAAGCCCATACTCGTATCATAAGTGGTTATAGGTCTAACTTGATCATCATACTATCCTTGTTTCTTGTTCGTGTTATTCCCTTGCAAAACCGTTCCAAATATAACCAAAAGTAGCCCCATTTGCATTGTTTCTTCTCTATTTGTTATCATTTCGCTGCAATCAGAAACACTCCAAAACAAAACCTCCCATACACGTATCAAATTCAAAGGTCCAAAACTAAGAGTTAAGGCTTCCAATCAAAGAGGTAACACCCCTAACTTGTTATTCAATCTCTTTAGCCTTCAAATTTATGTTTAAATTATGTTTTGGGACCAAGAACATGAGTTTACGGCCAAGGAACAAGCTTGGGCCGTAAACTCCTAAAGATGGGGTTTTTAAGCCCTAAAACCCCTCCTAAGCAATGTTGGACATTAGATATGGCTTAATGACTTAATGGAAAGGACTTATAACATTTAAAACATTAATTTTGAGCCATTTGAAGGAGTTTACGGCCAAGGCATAAGCTTGGGCCGTAAACTCATGTTCATGGGGTTTTTGAGCCAAATAAACCTTCCAAATCGTAGTTGGAACTTAGATATGACCTTAAGGCTTGCCAATCTAGACTTGGAACACTTTAAACATGATTTTTGGGGGACAAAAGTGAGTTTACGGCCAAGACATATTCTTGGGCCGTAAACTCCACTTAAATGAGGATTTAGTGCCTTAAATCATGTCCAAATGCCTTGAAACTCAACCAATGGCCTTGTGGTAAAATCTAGATGCATCTAAAAATAGTTTAAGGGGCTTTAAACACATCAAAAATGTTATTTATAGGAGTTTACGGCCTAGGAACATACCCTTGGCTGTAAACTCATAAAACTTGTTAAATGATGCATCAAATACACTCAAATGGCTTGCATAAATTTCTAGAATCACATGTGATTGTTTTTAAGCATCAAAAACTAACTTTTTCATGGGTATAAGAGAGTTTACAGCCTTAGAACATACCTCTAGGCCGTAAACTCCAAAAAGTATGTTAAATGGTGTTCTAAATTCATAACAAGGCTTGGAAAATTAACTAGAATCACATGTGATTGTCCTTTGTAGCTCAAATCAATTTTCCTTGGTCATAGGTGAGTTTACGGCTGTAAACTCTTATGGTGTGGCCGTAAACTCCCATTTAAGTGTTAAAATTTCATACAATCAATTCCAAGGCATTTTAGAAATCCATTCCAACAATCCCCATGTCCATTTAAGCCATTAAACACTCAAAATCACACCCACATGAGTTTACGGCCGTAAAATCATGTATGTGTGTGTTCTATGGCTGTAAACTCCTTAAAATGTTTACTCTTGGGGAGTAAACTCAAGTCCCAAGTCCCTAGTACCATTACACGTCCGAAGATGTCACCCGGGTCACTCCAAACGCTCGTTTTGAGGTGTTTAACCTCGTTGGAGTGTAATGTTCCATATGATTAGTGAATGTATCCCTAATTGTATATATATGGACATTATTTCATTTTACATAGGGACATCGCGAGTAATCAAACCTCGAACCAACGACTAGTATCCAAAACCGACGTATTTCGAGTCCGGTGAGTTCATACCCCTACCCTTTTTCACTGTTTTCACTGTTTTCAGGGGGGAACACAAGCAAAGTACAAGGGAATTCTTGTACTCAAAACATGTTTTCAAATATGTGTTTCATATTTCATATGCTTTTATTATTGATTACCATAACTGATAACCAATTGAACATGCAGATCACGTAACATATATTTGTGAAATAGGTCTTTAAACTGTTAAGTTTTACATATATTTCACAAATGGATTTCCATATTTTATCAGTTAAAAGCATAACATTAAACATTTGAATAATTACTGTACACTGTTTTGTCCTCGGTAACACTCCACACATATACGCGAGTGGAGGACTATTATATTATTACTAGTAAATTTGTTAATCCTGTATGATTGGAGACACGTCCTCGGCGAACACTCCACCGAGATACGCGAGTGGAGGACTACACCCATAACCAGAATCTCTGGTATTTAGAGAGCGTGACTTGAGTGTATAGATCTATACAGGGCTGACTACCCCACACCTGGCTGCTAGCTACAGCCGAACCGAAATGGTTCAAGGGTGACGAAAGTCATAAGTATGTGGACTACTTATTGCCACATGTGGACTACTTATTGCCACAGGTTTTAGTCTATTGTATGGTTATGGAACTCGCAATTAGGATAACAGAGATTTACTTATAGTAATAATGAACCACTTTATACATCTTTTACATCTTTTACGTATTGTAACTAACATTCAGGAAAGTACGGGACTTTCCTGGGAAAAACATGGAACCTAATCACGTTTACATCTTTTACATCTTTAACATCGTTCACATTAGAAACCAACATGCAGGAAAGCATGGGGCTTTCCTGGGTAATACTTACATATCCAAAAGAGTAACAAACTGGATAACATTACATCTTTTACAATTAGTAACATACAATAAGGAAAGTATGGGACTTTCCTGGTAACACATGATAAGTAAACAGAACAGTTTAACAAGTCAGATAACCAACTATACATTTTCACATGAGCAGACATGTTTTCAGTGTACAAACTTACTATACTTTACATTTGTGAAACAACAACCAACTTTTAAGAAAATATAGGATTTTCTTGGTATACATAACATTTCAGAAACAGAAAGGAAACTTGAAACATTTTCACAAACAAAAACCGCTTATGAACTCACCAGCTTTATGCTGATTTTCAAACCGCTTGTGTTCTCAGGTCAGCGTTAGAACAGGTACCCGAAGATCCTTTTTGCTTGAAGACGGTGTACATGAAGATCCGTTTCCTTTTGTTTATATATATTATGTATCACAACTGTACAAACTTTATTTTTGAAACAACTGTAAAACTTTCTTATGTAATGTAATGGTTGCTTTACTTTACTTACTATGTGTATTGGATTTGATACTCAACATGGAGTCAACCCCGGAAATGTTTCCGCTTCGGTTTTCGGGGTGTGACAGATTGGTATCAGAGCCCTTGTTTATAGTGAATGAAGTATACCAAACCTTACATGGTATAAAACTATAAACACTAAAGGGCCTAAGTGCTCTGAATTAAAAGTATCTTCAAACTACAAGTATTTTCAAAAGTATACAAGTATACCGAACCGTCGTCATCCGTAACCACAAGTAGAACAGAACATAAGTAATTGGGTGTTGTGTACTATGGTTAAACCTGGGCAGTTATGTAGTCGTGTCTAGGGTCAATATAGCCTGGCCAACTATATTCATTCGAGACACGGCCAACATGTGCTTGGGAGTGACTGTGGTATGCGGCATGCCTAAAACTTACCCTAATACCTCAAACATCGAACCATTATCGTAATCAATTCATGAAATACTATGGGAGTATTTCTCGATCCCAATCCTCGGTAGAAGTCCTTATTCGAATGGCTTTCTGTGATTATTCTAGCGATAAATTATCTGTTTCGATAACTCTTTCCTGCTTTATCGCTTATTCAAATCATATAACTGCCATCTCTATCAATTCAATATAGAGGACTTACCATCCTCTCTTTCTTGATCTTATTAGATCAAGATGCCTCCCCGAAAGAGACCTAGCTCAAAGAACAACAACAATCCTTCTTCGCTGCCACCTCCTCCCCAGTTTGACCTGACATCGCTCCAGACAATGATGACAACTGCAATGGTAGCAGCTTTGTCACAAATGAACCCTAGTGGTTCAGGAGGTGGTCCTCAATCTCAAAACCCCGAGGTCAGCCAGGGACACCAAAGAGGGGGTTCCTACAAGGATTTCATGAACGGGAAACCAACATCCTTCAATGGTGCTGGAGGTGTCATTTCCTTATCTCGATGGTTCGAGAAAATCGAGTCCATCTTTGAAATCTGTGCTTGTGCGGAATCTGATAAAGTTAAATTCACGGCATGTACCTTCGCTGATAAAGCCTTGACTTGGTGGAATGGCCGAGTCAAATCTCTGACATTACCAGTAGCCAATGCCATGGGCTGGGAAGCCATGAAGGAACTCCTTATAGCTGAATACTGCCCCCGTGGTGAAATGCAGAAACTAGAGCACGAGCTCTGGAACCTGAAGATGAAAGGTTCCGACATTGCTGCATACACTTCCCGATTCGATGATCT